GTTTTGGGTTAGGGCCGGGTCGCACTAGAGCGAATTTTAGCCAATTTTGTTTGTATAAGTAATAAATCTGTCACCAAGTAACGTAAAATAAGTGCGACCCCCAGTTTCAAAAACTCGCCAATTTTTTGCGGATTGCCAAATTTTCGCCAGTCTTCAGAGAAGCCGAAGTGCTGCCTCGAAGGCTTCCAAATTTTGGCAAAGCAAACAATTTTGTTTGTTTAACCATTGAGCTGCCATTTTTCTTCAAACATACTTGGATCAAGTTACGGCGGGAAAAATTACTTTGTTCGGCTAGTGCAGGTTAGCACGTACGATGTCGGGACAAAATAATTTTTTTCCCGGTCTATCTGACCCTTCTTTCTATGGTTTTTACAATGGAAACGCGGAATACGAGCGGCAGTTTTTTGGAAATGCCAATGACTCCTACCCTGGATCGGCACCAATTCAAGCGAACCCTACGTCTTCTAACAGCAGACACTAACCGTTGAAAAGCCAGCTGATAGTGCATCAACAATACTAAAAACGCTGCGTTGTTCTGTTGAGACTGAAACACAAAATTCAACAAAAGCCCGAAAGCCGCGAAAATAATCACCTGTATATGACGATCCATTCTTGCACAAGCAATGCGCGAGATGTTTTCTTGACTGTAGATATCGTGACATGACATATATGTCAATCAGCGAAGTTTTGGCTCAAACATGTTGGTCCAATGCGACCACCGCCAAAATTTGGCCCTCGCGAAATTTTTGCCAATTTTTTCCTCGCCAAAAATTGGAAGTAAACAAAATTGGCTCAAGTGCGACCCGGCCCTATTTTGCATTTTTTCAGGTGCATGTCATCTCAGTTAATCTTAAGCCAGACTTTGATCTGTCTTAATCTATGGCTGGAATGTCGTTGTTTTGGATTATTTTGCAAAGGACAAATAAGATGTCGTTACAATTTCATTTGCTGCAGACTTAAAAGTTCCCTGTGGTGAAAACATCTTTCGTTTTTTCCTATTTCAATTTCTCGATTAACGTAATTAGTCTTTGAGAAAACTAAAGTTTTGTTTATTTAATGTACCGTACACGCTGGAGAGAATTTTGAGATTAGTCTTCAGACGCCGAATAAACAAAGAGTCACTTAATAAAAACACAAACACATTGAGCTAAAAAATGTATCTAGAACCGTTGGACGAGTTAAGAGCTCTGACTGCACATAAATACATTTTGGTGAAAAAAGCAAAGATGAAGAACATTGAGGTGTTAGCCATCTAGAAGTCTTAAAGCGACAAATAAATTTTTTTTAACAAAGTGTCGCTCCTGGGGTCAACCACACACCACTGAAAGGGCGCTGAAACGGTTCGATTTTAGAACAGTAGACAATGACATTCACTGGAGCGTAGCACCGCCCTGCTAATGCCGTCAAAGCAAACCGAAATAGCACTGTAGGCGAGCGAGATACTTCTGGTCGCAATTTCACCACCTCTCTGATTTTTTTGGTGAATTGTAATATGTTTTCCGAGTGATGTACTTCATCAAAACACGCAATATCTTAACCCGGATTCTATGACGCAGTCATACGACAGGAAGTTGTAACAAAGTCAGTGAACCGTAAATCGGTGCGATAAAGATCCAAATAAGGGGATTTTAAAATCGACGCGTTTTCATCGAATTTGTTAGTGTTATACATTTTCTTTTGAGGAAAATATAAATATTTGAATAAATTGTAACGTGATTTTGATTTTTGTGATGTTTCTCAATTTGTTTGTTTGTCTTTTTGTTGGCAGATTCTTATACGTGTCTTTTTCTCTGCGGGTAGAAGATAACTCCAATATCAACTGACATCACGCTATGTCTGTGACGAAAACGCTGGGGAATTTTGAGTCCTTGTAAACGGAAATTCTCATGAGAAACCGGCCTTGATTTTAAAAATCTAGAGTGAACATTCCTTCTCTTACTCGTCGCAAGCTGCTTTCATCTAAGACAAGCATCCTTAGGTTAAAAGCTTGTATTAATTAATGCCTTGAGGTCCTTAAAGATTTAAAACAATAACACATATATCATATTGTAATAATGTAGTTCATAAGCGGAATTGTTGTCAACAAACGCATTTTGTACGGCCCTGCGTTTCTGATCTCGCCGATAGAGTGCGTTAAGCAATACACATTGAAATAAAGAATTGAAGATAACAACATTCTTCCGCCCTAATCTTCTGAGAGACAAGTTTCTATCAAGAAACGATGAATATAGAAGCAACTCGTACGTTTAATCTGGTTTCTGCAATCGACGTTTGTAATTGCCTAAATTAAGTGCAGTAACTCGATTTACCAGCGGAGAAAAGGGCAGTATGAAATACCGGGGAGTCCAAGCTAGCTAGTAGAAAACGGAAACATATTTACGCATTTTAAGTACAGGGAGCGAGTTCGCGAAGTTTTCCTCTTCGTCTGTTAACTAAGCCTTCAGCGGAACAACTCCTGCTTGTCACGACATGAGCGACAGAAGCGATTCAGTTTCCTTTGAAAGACATTGATAGTCTTAGCCGACGAGACAATGACATGAGACCCTTTTAGCCCTAACACTTACCGATAACTTCTTTACCTTCGTGATTTCTGGTGCAAAGGCGACGTGTAAACGTCGCGACCGTTGACGAACCCTAATAGGTTTAGAAGACTGCATCAAGGTGTTACTTCCTCATCAAACGAAGAGAGGAAACTGTTTACTACCTCGCCAGTGATTTTGCCAAATATTTCCCGTGTGGGCGTGCTTTTCATTAATATGTTAATCATTTCATTTTTCCGTGGTACCGTGTTTCAGGAGAGCAGGTTACAATCTCGTTCGTTCTCGGTCAAGAGTTCTCACACCTCTGAACAAATTTCTCGAAAATCTCTTTCTTGTAACGTGGGTGGATGAATTTAAAATGTATTTGATCTATAAAACCCAATTCCACCTGGTTCAGACTGAATTGCTTTGATTAATTCGCCTCTACTTCCAGCCATTTCCTTGTTGATCAAAAGTTATTTTCTCATAATTGTTTAATATTCAGAGAGCTACCATTATAACATTGACTGACAGACACATCATCATGTTATTGTCTCGTCGGCTGATAAGCCAAATTTAACTCCAGACGGTTGCGCACTCTGATTGCCGTCAAACAATAAGTGTCATTTACATCCTGTCGCGGTCGAGCAAACTTTGTAGGTGGCAGCGAGGAAGCTTGAATTCCTTCGAAAGTTGAAAAGTGTTTACGGGCGTGTGCGACTCTTGTCACTCCTCCGCGATGAATTCGCTCCTAGGCGGTAACTGACGAGATTCAGAAAGAATCGAGACCGCGGTCTTGCCTAAGAATCTCCACAGATGGCAGCAGTTACATTCACAGCCGATGGCTCTCTGAATGATAACAAATTCAGAAAATACATTCCTAGACGCGAGTTATATATTAAACGCATTACAAAGAGACAGAGACCATCTAATACACGAACATTTTTTCGTGTCATCCACCTAGCGTAAATACGGGACTTGTAAAAGAAGAAGCCCTCCGCTTGCTAAGAACGAATTCGTCACGCTCCAAGTTTAATAAAAAAACGCACAGAGTTTCATAATACGCTTAAAATAGAGGATACTTATATGAAGGTTTTGAGAAACGTATCTACGGAGTCATTTTCTGCGGGAGAGAAAGTAAACTTAAAGCAACAGACGCACATAGAAGAAAATTTATATTGCCTATTTTAACAGTCTCATCCAGCTTTGCCAAACCTCAAGAACATACAGATGGGGAAATGACACCTTAAAACTAACCCTTATTACCACATCATAAAGGAAAATCATGAAAAGATATTCTCGAAACCACTAAAATTTAGACGCCTGTAGCTTCAACCACTGTAACACAAGACTTGCGCGTGCTGGATTTTCACGTTTCAAGTCACGTTTCAAAATGTTTGTTAGGTAATCGTGCATCTATTGCAATATTTCCTCATACAGTTCGTGGACCCCGTCCTAAAACGGCTCTGGTTTTGTTTAGATACACTGAACCACGGCTAGCTTGCCTGAGGTCAAACGTAACGCGTGACAAAATTAATGTAATCAACAAACCATGACGCGACGGAAAGAAAGTTTCGCTAGTTGATAAATTGGGTGATATGGAGTTAAAACGCTTTCAAACGAGAAAGAGGAAGAAAACAGAAACCTTCAAAACATTGGTATAGTAGACAGATTGAGATGCGACGCACGAAAAGTTTGGCTAACTGACATGATTAGAGCAAAGAAAGGAAAAACATTTTTCCTTTGAGAATATAGTTAATTTGCCACAGTCGTGAGCTTGAACCTCTTATATTCGCTGGCTAGGTTCCAAATTATATTCTATCACTTTTTCTTAATGAGTTCCCAAGATGTGTTCCCAAAAAGCGTTTCCCGAGTCGAGTTCTGATGGGCTTGAAAATTGCATGTGAGTGTTAAAAAGATAGAGGGGTGATTGCAGTGCTAACTACAGGTTACAAACAAAGTGTGTAAGAGCCACAGTGTTTTGGATTTTTTTGTGTTTTGGCCTAAAAATTGCATGTGAGAGTTCCGAAGATAGAGAGGTGATTGCAGTGCTAACTACAGATTGCAAACACTGTATATTAGAGCCAAAGTGTTTTGAATTTTTAAAACTGGCCGTTTAATTTAGGGAATGAAGCTGGTAAGTTTATAAATAAACTGTAGTACCAGGTCCGTGGGAGTACTACAAGAAAATTTGGCTTTATCCGAGACTGAACGGTTGGCCAGTTTACATCAGTGATGTAAATTGGCCAACGTTAAGAGTTTCTAAAGCTGATATTTCGAGGTTTGACCCACCGTCAGAGCCACACAACCCACAACTTCAATGTTCCCTCTCACGAAGGGCTAACGTTCAAAACTTTAGCTATAGAAACTCTTTACGGTGGCAAATTTACATTATCAACGTGGTTGATCAAACCAAATCATAATTTAGGGAATAGAAGTCTATCTAACGTGGCTGTTGAGCTTTGTTAGGCACAATAAACATTGTTTTGGTTGTGTGAATATTTATTCAATTTGCAGAATATTTTACAATGACTAGATAAGTGCACTCACGTGTAAACTAAGTGCACATGCACGGATTTAACTGGGAATGAATTTGCTGTTGTTATTTTGCTTTCGTATAAGAAAATGCAGTGATAAAGAAAGAATTTTCACGGGAACATTGTGTCCTCAGACTCCTTTGCTTCAGGTCTTCATTGCGTCCATCACATAAACAAATTTACCATCAAGTCGTGTATTTTCAACTCGTGCAATGTTCCTGTTGTTTAAGGTGAAAAAAAAATGCAGTCAAAAACTTTTAAATTAGAGTGTAAATGTAATCAACTTGATTGATAAGGATAATCCCTTCTCTCTCTCTCTCACTTTGCAATGGGGGTTATTATTACTCCACCTTTTAGAGTGTTAAGAAGAATTATCACATGAAACAACTGCTTGATAGCTTTCATCTGGACTGCCTCACACTAAGATTTCATCTTCAAGGGTAAAAGTTAACCGTGATGACAAACTGTATTGCTTTGAAAATAAAAATAGCTTCGAGGCCAATGAGAACTCGAAGTAAAACGCAAAAAACTGCCTAAAGTGCGGGAAAACGCCGGTGAGTGAATCGTGACCGGGTTTGGTTTTGCATCTAATTGGTTGAGGGAATGACGCCAGTTTTCATGACCAATCACAGAGCATAGTTAGGAAAATCCAAAGCAATCCCGGATCACTTTCGACACTCAATTCGAAACTGCTTTAAACCTTTAACTCCCATGAATGACTAAGAGAAAATTTCTCCTTACAATATCAATACAAAATCAAGCATAGAAGTGATGAAAATAAAGTAGAAAAACCAATTAGTGGATTATTAGATGATCCAATACCAAATTCTCCAAATTGACATCATAATTGTGTGGCAAACAGTAAGGAGAATTACTAATGAGATCCTGGGAGTTAAAGGGTTAACGTGTTATTACGCTCACATGAATTACTTTCGTATAAATGGCGACTGTAAAGTACTGTTTTCCGCTATACTTCTCCTTACCTGGTTCTAGAAGATTGATCGCGTAGCACATAGCATGCAGTGATACCAATTAGGATGGAAAGTGCGAGAGCCACTGCGAAAACTATCATCGCAACAACTGGAAAAAATATATAACAAAAATACAAAAAGTCAATAAGGCGTAGCTTGAATTGTATTTCGTGGGATTTTCGGGTTATGTTGGTGTTCCATCTCAAATTCGACTTAAACACGAACCACAGACGAAAACAATTGAAGAACTGTAGGAAAAACGTAGACGACATTCTGTTCTGAAATTACTGTATAGATAAGTATTATTTTTTCACGTGGACCCGCTTTTTTATATAAAAACTGTTTTCACAAAATATGCCTTCTATTCTCTGAAAAGCCGGTACTCCGCGGAACTCTTGGTAGGGATGTGCCACCAATTTAAATTCAAATCCTGACCCTATTTCAGACCACAGCATGCTATTTCCAACACCCCTTTGAATTCCTTCGCCTTTTCCCGATTTGGTATCACAGAGCAGTACATATCCACATAGCTTACGAAAGGGAATTACCTGTGCCCCGCCCATCCCAAGCCTCTATAGTTAACTTACAGTATTCATTGCTGCCATGCTCCCCTTCGTCTCCTGGTCCACCAGCGCCGGTATTAGCGTTAACAAAACCCACATCTGTAGGTTAAGGAGATACAAAGTCATTTATTTGAGTAATTTGTAATGGATCTATAGTATTTTCCTCAATGATCAGCTGATACTCAATGTTTGTTCTGCAAATACATGGAAGCCATGGGTAAATTAAGAAAGCCACAAGAACAACATAGCGTTCTTATTTAGGGCCACCAGGAAAAAAGTCCCATGTTGCTAAAACCCATTCCAGTTTCTGCACCCATAGGCGAATAGGGAATGACGATTGGTTGTTAGTTCATATCAGACTAAAGCCCCACCTTTTCCTAAGGTTTCTTGGAAAGTTCCTAGAGCACATTTGTTCTCTTACCCCAAGGGAGGATCTGAGAGTAAGTTGACAATAACTCGACTTTTTGCAACAGAATAACTCCAACCAAGGTTCAATCCTTAAACTCGAAGCTTTTGACAAAGACTTCACCTCGATCACTAAGCATCGTGTCTCTGTCCCCCCGATAAGAGGTATTGCATACTTCTCGTATCAGAAAGAGAGGGAAAACCAATGCCCGCTGGTTTACCTGATTGGCAAGCTTTCATATTACATGATCGCCCTTCATAGATATTTCTGCTCTCGCAGTTTTTCCCTCCATGAGCGGGAGGGGGATTGGTGCAGTTTCGATAACGTAATTGAAGTCCAGTCCCACACGATGCACTACATGTGGTCCAAGCAGACCATTTTGAAAAACCGCCATCAACTGTTAAAGCAAAACCAAACAATACAAATAAATATTGGAAGGATTTTTTACTTTTTACACTCTACATCATGCATCGGCTCCAGTTTTATTGAAATAACTTTTAAAATATAATAATATACCTTCAGTCTGGAAGTATATTAATGAATGCATAAGCATAACGGATGCTGTGTCTAAGGCATGGATGTTCTACCTGAGGTGTAAATGTTGTTTTTGAGGTAAGGATGTTATGACTGAAATATGGATGTTTTTTTATCACTGTTATTGATATCATTATTATTATTATTGTTATTATTATTATTATTGTTGTTATTATTATTATTAGTATAACTACTTCATTTTTGCGACGTTTACCCTCTTGAATCACTTACACCATTCACATTTAACACTACTTAAAATGCGAACGTTAAATACAGAATTAATAATATTATTTTCACTTACTTTTTCAGATATTAATTTTACATGAAAGGTGTGGATTTTATTCCAAAAGTACGATTTGATTCCCAAGGTATGGATCTTATCCCTAACGTAATTATAGTTTACTAAAGTTACAGATGGCATAACATGAGCTTTAAATGCATGCCCCAGATGAAGACATTTTCGAAATGTAGCCAAGAAAGGGTCATGTCCAATTTAGATGATCTGACATTTTGATTGGTACCGAGATTTCTGATAAAATTTAAGTGTTGTCCATGAAAACGCTTTCCAAACTATTTTGTGTTTTCTAAAATAGCAATTGCCGTGATAAATGGACTTATGAAAAATATGGTTTTTTTTTTTCAGTTTTATTTGCCATGGAATTATGTCCAGGGCTGCAGAAATTCTGCATAGTATGGCTTCCAATGATGCAGAAAATCTGCAAGGTTTGACGTCCAATGCTGTAGAAATTCTGCACGCCTTGACGTCCAATGTTGCAGAAATTCTGCAAGGTTTGACGTACAATGCAGCAGAAATTCTGCACACCTTGACGTCTAGTGCTGCAGCAATTCTGCATGGTATGGCGTCCAATGCTGCAGAAGTTCTGCAAGGTACGAAGTCCACGAGAAAATGGTCATAGCCTGCCGGAACGAAGAAAAAAATATATTCGTTTCCCGAGAATGGTGGAAAAAAAAGCCAATTTCAAATTGAAAAGGTGCGTTCCAATTTGCTTCAGTATACCCACGGTTCTTTAAAAGCTTCAGAAAAGCTAAATTTAGTAAGACGTTATCTGCTCAAAAGGTCTCCTAACTTTAAATCTCTTTAATAGATCGGGCCTCTGTTAATAGCCTTAAGTTTCCAACCGTGGATTTATTTACTCTAGTTTATCTTGTCATGCAAAAAACATTAGCACACACAGCATTGTTACTTCAACTTATCGTAGAGTTGAGCTTTTGTCTGTTTTTGACTCTGAGTGAAGTTAATTTGTATTCCTCGCACAAAAACATTTCAACCGATGATAGCGAGTAAACTAGATGTCGCAGAAATTCTGCGACCACTCACACACTGGATGTCGCAGACATTCTGCGACAACTCAGTGTATGAATGCTTGCAGAATTTCTGCGACTTCCAGTCTATGAGTGGTCGCAGAGTTTCTGCGACATCCTATGTATGAGTGCTGCAGAATTTCTGTGATACCCAGGGCATGAGTGATTGCAAAGTTTCTGTGACATCCAGAGTAGATATGGTCGCAGAATTTCTGCGACATCCAGTGTATGAGGGGTTGCAGAATTTCTGCGACATCCAGTGTACGAGTGTTTGCAGAATTACTGCGACATTCAGTGTATGAGTTGTCGCAGAATTTCTGAGACACTCAGTGTATGACTAACTCTCCACAAATTAGACGGATTAACTCTGCATCATTTCATGTCCTATTAGAAACACATAGTTTCTTACGGACTAGCTAAATCTTGCAGAGGAAAAAAAGAATTGAATTCATTTTAAATTTTGTCCGCAAAATTTGGTAAATTTTAAGTTATCACCAAAACATGCTGAGAAAAAACATTCATAAATCCAAAAATGTGCTATTTTGGAAAACACAAAATAGTTTGGAAAGCATTCAACACATCTAAAGAATGTGAGAGCAAATTATGTAATTGGAATTATTAGAAGACACCGGTAAAAAATTTTGTCAGGTGATAAAAATCATGAAAGGCTATCAAATAAAGGCTTACCCGCTGACCCACTCTTAGGTTAGATCAGTTCTGATGATTAACTTATTTACCTTTTGAATAGCATTCTGTTGTCGAACAGTTTCGCACATCTGTGAAATTTTTGCCTTCGCAACTTTTTCCTCCATGTGCTGGAGGGGGACTTGTACAGTTTCGATGACGTAATTGGAATCCATTCCCACACGAAACACTACAAGTTGTCCAGTCGGACCATTCTGAAAAACCGCCATCAACTGTCAAAAAGAAACAATACATTCTCGTGAATATTAATGATATGACGGGCACTGTGGAATAAAAATGAAAATTTCCTCTTAAGTAGGAACATATATAGATTTAGCCAAGCCTAAAAGCGGAGCTCTTGGTAGTTTATTTTCCAGCCCCTCATTATGCTGAATGAAAACTGTAATAAAACTCTTCAGCACAGGCTGTAGAAGAGTTTCTTCAAGGGGACAGGAGACCAGACGAGGTCTGGAACCTGGAGACGATTTTCTCACAACTTGCAAGGCGATCAACACGCATGCTAGTAAGCGGTATCTTCAAACAGCTTGGGACCTTCGTCGTTGTTCCAAATGTTTGGAGCAAATTTTCTAAGATGGGGAATGTTCTCTTCTTCAGATGAAGTGTATGATGTCAGCATCAGTTGAAATTATAATCTATTGAGCGTGACTTATAATTTCAGTTTGGGAAAATGGGCCAAAATTGAAAGAAACGACGGCAAACTACTTTGCGTTATGACATCACTAGTCGATTGGAGTGTATACACGTGAGCACAGTGAGTCAGCAAAACAATACGCCAGAATCGTATGGGCCTCTATTATATCTTCTAGTGGTGTTGTCATGTATGACTGCTTACCCCACCGTTTTTCCCCAGCGTTTCAATCTCCTCTGTTTAGCGTAGAAAATTAAAAAGAAAGGTAACTTTCAACTCGTGTTTGAGCCCGTATTTTTTTTACTTTTTCGCTTTCGGCTATTTTTGATTCGTGATTGTCCTCTGGCTGGAAATACACGACGTCTTTTTCTTATATTTACTCTTAATTAATTAGGTAACTTCTGGTGTACCTGCATATAAAGTGGATGTCCTCAAGAAAACTTGAGATAATACCTGGATTTCATTTCCACGTCACAGAAATCAACTCCAAACATCAATCAAGTTTCTCTCTAGTTTAAAAGTTGAGTTGATGTTGTTATTGGCTATATTAAATAGGTTGAAAAGTTTTACATGGTATTTTCTCATGTTACCCATCAGTTGAATTTACTGGAAGATGGAGTTGTTAACATGAAACGCAACAATAAATTTTATTGGTATGTAAAAAGTTTTCATTTGACTATCTACTGGCAAGTCTTTGTATTATGTTTCAACCCAACCATTTTCCACAACTTGTAAAAAACATTACAAAATAATTAATCAGGAGATGGAAAATTTGTGGCATATACACCACATTTGAAATGCCATGTCCATAAAAAGCAAACAGAATTGAGGAGGGTGTATTTGGGAATAGGCTGTCTTGTCTGTATCATTAATTAACTAATTGCTCCCGTTGGCAATGTTTTGAGCAAAGGAACAGAGGATTTTAGCTGGCAATGACTTTTTTCAAACCTAGAAACTATCATTGTGAAAGTCATACTTGTGCCTGGTAACGCATTCTTATTCTCATAAACTAGTTTTAAGAAGGACACAATATTTTATTAGATAAATTTGACGCATAGACTGTGCACAAAACTTTAATTTGACATAGATTTTATAGCCAATAACAATCCCTGAACATAGTAGAATGTTAGGAGGAACAGAGGGAAAAAATGTGCCACACATCTGCAAGATTTCATGTAACTATTTTAATTACATGAATATTAACTGATACTAAGAGATCTAAGAACATTCAAAAGAGAAGAAAATTTTATTGAAAAAGTAGAATTGAGCATAGGCCGAATAAACAAGATTCTTAGAAAAAGAGATGTGTACTAATGAAAAAGCTAACCAAACTTTTTTACAACACCTGCCTATACCTTTATAGCAAGTAGTAAAGTCATTTGAACTAGTCATAGTACTGGGTTTATACATAAAAAGTAAGATATGGTCTGCACAACTCTCTTATTTTTAATTTTTTAACCTATTAACCTATTAAGCTAAGAAATACATGCAGATTTCCTCTAAAGCTGTACTTCAAGCCTGCAATGACTTCAGAATTTAGATGCACACCTCAAAAGGAGAACAAATGAATTTCAAGTTTCTATTTATTCAGTTTACATGTTGGTTAGTGAGGTAAAATTCAGTCAAACATTTTATACAACGACAGGTTCACGAAGTTTTCACAACTAATTTTTAGGGTTAGTCTACCTGGAACAATTGCCTTCAATTACAAATTTTACCAGGTTTTTACTGATGATGCCCAAAAGAACTATCTGCGGTAAAAGGGCAGGCCTTCCTTTCTTCATTTAGAGAAATACTGAGGTTATCATCTTTCCACAAACTCAGTGAAAATTAAGATTGAATGAGACTATTAGTGACTATGTTATTTGGATAAATATCCAAAGGAGGATAAAAATAAGATATGGTCTGCACAACTCTCTTGTTTTAATTTTTTAACCTTTTAAGCTAAGGCAATTATATTCTTGCTTTGTGCATTATATGGATGCTAATTAATTTAACTTTCATGCGTCAAAATACAAAAAATGTTCTCTTCATTCATGTGCCCTAAACATTACAGGGGAGGAGGCAGGTCATATTAAAAACATGAATTAAAACAGGAGGGCCCCCATTTAATTTCAGAACTAATTAAAGGAAGATCCTTGCTTTTCCAGATTTCCACCCTTTAAAACTCACATATCTTGTGACCATTTCCAGATATCAGTGTTTAGTTTCGGTACGAACATTGGTAAGAAACACCATTTAATGCAATCTGAATAATAATATTACATGTTACAATGTGGTAACTTATACAGCAAAATTATATAATAACACAATTCCAAACAAAGGAAGTCAGGTCATTGACTCACCTGCTTCTACTTTTGAGGGCTTAAGGTACAGAGAAATAGATATGGCAAACAGTTACAATTAACACAAAGTTGAAAGTTTGAAAGCTAAAAGATATACATTACAATCATCAGACCCTATGCATCCTTGCAAAAAAAAAGGTCAGTTACCACCATAACTTCTCCCGAACGTTCATGCTTACAGGAAATCATTAATCTTTGTTACTACAAGGTACTGTATTTAAAATATATCTACTGACACAAATGCATTTTTCTTAAGTTATCTCATAGCATATGACTGTATAGGCCATGTGGAAAGTTCCTGCATGGGGACTGACATTTCAATTGCCCCAGCAAACTTAAATCATCAGAATTGCAAGCCGAGGTGTATTTACCAAGTGCTCAAGTTCCAAATTAATCACCTGATTATTACAGTGGAATTCACTCCTTTTTGAGGCTATCTTCAGCTTGATCATCCTGTTTCATGTAAAAACATTAAATGTTACTCATATATTCAAATAATTACCTAAATGAAAAGTTATAATTTTTCCAATAACCTGCTTCCTTCAATCCTTTAACTCCCATGTGCGACCAAGACAGAATTTCTCCTTACAATATCGATACAATATCAAGCAGACAAGTGATAAGAATAAATAAAAATATTAATTAGGGAATTATTAGTTGATCCAATACCAAATTCTCAAAACTAACATCACCAGAACTATATGGCAGACAGTAAGGAGAATTACCAATGAGATCTTGGGAGTTAAAGGATTAATTGTGCTCCAGAAATAGTAAATGGTATTGAAGAGAAAGGAAAAAAATTCTTGAAACATTGCATTTATGTTAAATGCTGTGTTAAATAGAACTTTGTCATAAATTTTAACTTTTTAACTCCCATGAGTGACTAAGAGAGAATTTTTCCCTACAATATCAATACAATATCAACCAGATAAGTGAAGAGAATAAAGGCAAATATTAATTTGGGGGTCAAGTTAGTTGATCCAATACTAAATTCTCTGAACTAACATTGTAAGAATTATATGGTTGACAGTAAGGAGAATTACAAATTTGATCTGGAAGTTAAAGAGTTAATTGGGATGGCAACCAAAACATCTGTAAACTATAATAGCAATTACCTTTCCCTGTAAACAAACCTTAATGAAGCATGATATGAATTAATTCACCTAGTTTGAATGTAGAATCCAAAATCTAATTAACTTACTACGAAATAGGAAAAAGCTCAGTGTATTTTTCCTGCTTCTGTCATTCTAAATATCACAAATCAATCACACCACCACTTCACTGTGATTTTTTGATGGTGTGTACTTTTTCTTATGGACATCTATTCTTAGTATCTATCTTTTATGAGCTGACATCTGAGAAGAATCAAGTCTACACTGGTAATTTGACACATTGCAGGCAAACGCTTCAACTGATTAAATTTTATTTGAATAAAAAACATGAAGGGCAATAAAGGATATTACCTAGTACAATCCAAGTTTCCCTACTTAAGTATTCTGGGATGTTTCTTCTATCATATAGTAAACTGAGTTCATAGTTTACCTCATTTTACTGTCTTCTGTTCATTTGTTTGTTTGCTCTCTCAACAACATTAACTACTGTTGCAATCAAATGCAAGGAGCATATAAAATGTTTACAGTTATAAACATTTTAATCCCTGAGAGTGACTAGCATCTAATTTCTCTTTTAAATATCATCCCTGAATCAAGCTTTAAGGTCATGAGAATAAGGGAAACAATAATCAACTGAAGAACCTTGTGACTGTTAAAGAGGACAGTATGGAGAATAAGCATACTGGTGTTAGGGTGTAAAGGGTTAAAGACATCATGTAATCAGTTTTACATATGTAGAGTATTGCTTGAATATATAATTATGGCAAGTGCAAGTGCCTAATAAACATCATTCTAGGGTCTTCTCCTCTTGGAGGGTGCCTTGTGTACATAAATATTGAATTTCAGTGCCTTTATTAGCTTTTTTGGCTACAACGATCAACAAAGAACAACAGCCACACCAAGGAATATTTTTAAAGGCATATCTACATTGGTAGATACACACAACTGACATCTATGAGTGAAGCATGTCAAGCATTAAGGTATGATCATCAATTTGCTTTTCATTACTTGCAAACAGCTTATTTCTATCGGCTTTGAAAACTTCTATATCCTCGGTAAAAGCTAGGTTTTTTTCGTTTGTCTTACGATGTAGTCACGTGTAATGTAGATCGCAACGTTTCAACTGCATGTTGCTAGACTAGCAGTATGCGGTCGAAATGTCACGATCTACATCACACGTAACTACATCGTGAGAAAAACGAAAAAAATTAGCTTTTATTGTTATTCACCACAATGAATAACCACAACCTTTTTTTAAGAAATTCTGTATACTCGCTTTCAAAGAAAAGCATTTCCCATGAACATTTAAATATTACAGACATACCGATAGGTTACCAGCCACAGCTTTTTCCATTGTTTCATATCATCACATTCTCATCATATATTTTTTTGGTTACATTTGAAAGGATAAGAAAATTTAAATCATTGTAATGTAATGAAATCCCCCATTTTAACCCTTTTAGTCCCACTAGTGACCAAGACAGAATTTTTCCTTACACTTTCAGTACGATATCAAGCAGACAAGTAATGAGAATACAGAAAAATATCAATTAATGAATTAAGGGTTGATCCAATTCCAAATTCTACAAACTAACATGACATAAATTTTATGGCAGACAGTAAGGAGAATTACTTATAAAATCTTGTGAGTTAAAGGGTTAAGACACATATGGTAATCATATGTACCAGAAAGACAGCAAAGAAATGTGACATACTCTAGCGAAGTGTTCTTATGTACAATGAAGTTTCAAACTCATTGAAATTATATTGACTTCATGATTCAGATTTTAGTTAAAGAAATGTGTAATATCTCTTTACATGAATGAAAAGAGAATGCCATTTATGAATTTTAAAATGGTACATGCCAAAAACTCAAAGATGGAATTTTCAAAAACTATTAAAATATGGCACATCTATTCACTGAGATTTTAATCATTACCTGGCACTCGGAGATATAAAAGGGGCTTTCTGAAAAAAACCAGGGCAATAAAATTAAAAATTCAAGAGAAGCATATGACATCAACTAGTTTGCTGACGTTCTTACCTGAATTCAATCTGCAAAGAGAGCTCTGCAACACTTCTGTTTTATCTTCTAACACTTGAATTAAAACATAAAATTTAATTATTTGCAGGTAGGTTAAGGTGGAGATTAAAGGAATGGATATATGTTACACAAAAAGAAACCCCATACAATAAAAATAAAGCAGAAGCGTATAAGCTACACGTCTGTGCTTCTGAATACAGCTTTAATAGGTGTTTTCTAAGCAGTTATCAACATATGTAAACCGGGTGCAATATACGGTCGTAAAAGCAATTTTGTACCAACCTTCTTTCTTGAAGGGTGCCTTGCGTATCAAATATATCAAGTTCAGTACCTCCAGTATCATAAGCCAGGCTTTTGGGGCTACAAACTAATAAAATAATCAACGAGTTATGGCAGGCCAATTTATCGAGAGTCAATTAAGTATAGTTTCCTAAAATCGTATGGAAAGTTTAAATTGTGCTTCACTTTTGCTGCATATACGGATTTATCGTTCTTAATTTCTGATTAAATTCCGAGAATGTTACTCAATTAATTCAAAAGAAAATATCCAAGCAGGTTATAGAAATGGTTCTCAAATTGTAAACTGACGATGTGTTAACAAAACCTCCCTAAATTATAGTACAGATACGAATCTATCGTTCATAATCACTTATGAAATTCCGAGATTGTACCTCAATTAATTCAACAGAAAATATCCAGGAAGGTAACAGAAACGGACTCTTAAAAACGGCTCTTGAATTCAAAAAATGGAAACAACAATAATTTACGCTAACCATGTGCTTACCAGCGTGCTTGTGAGCTCAAATTGCCAGGAACCCGTTAAATTACACGATCACAGCTCGGACGCTTCTTGCAAAATATGATGACTATCAACTTCAGAGATTTATTCTTCAGTTTCCAGCATTAGGAAAAAATTATCGTATCGCAAGCATGTTCATCATAACTCGAGCAGTAAGTACGCCACGAGAAAGTGGCTCCACTTTTTGTGAGACAAACCATTTCCTGAAGTTCGAACGAATCCAGTAGAAAACATGAAAACATAGCGCTGAAAAGTACCATGACCAAACAATGAACTTCACTTCTCCTGCAGTAGGACTAAATCCATTTTACCTGTGAGTTTGTTTGCACCACACCTTTATAGTCAATAATTTAATTCTCAGATGTTCGGCGGGTTCTCACCGTGACAATATTGTCAAATTAAATTACTGCGTCAGACTTGGTGTACACTTGGACATTGCTGACTCAATCTCATTTTATTTCAATTTAGGTAAAGGTCATTACTTCGGTCGTAGGGCAAACCAACGCTTTTTCGACATAGCGTGCTTTTTTTTTAATGAATAGAGTAAATCCTGCGATAGTTAACTAAAGAGAGAAAGAGGTTGAAACTTGCGCTCGCCGTTCGCTATCATCTTAAAACTTTCCCGGCAAAACAAAATCCGTAAGATAATTTCTTTTCCCTTAATTAATAACACGACTGTATTAAACATTTCAAACGACAGGAAAAGAAATAACATGAAGAATACGATTACTTTGAAATGTTATTCGAGCGATGAACCGGCGCGAGGGTTTTTAGGCGATGAATGCCGAAGTCATTGTTTTATCGAAACGTGATTAATTTTAAAAACCAATTTAATTTTAAACTGAAGCTAGTATCAAACGACGATTGGTAATAAAGGTTCGAATTTTTCTGGGCCTTAGGGTGAGAGAAAACCCAGATAAGACACGACTTACCTCCTTTCTTTCCCGCATCCTTTGTAGTTCGCTTCTCTTTGTTGATGACGTCTTTTCAGTCTGTTTTCAGGAGGGCCTTTGTATTTCTTTCTCGCGTTGCTCTTCGCTAGATAATCGCCTTTTACTTACGTCTTTCTTGTTCTCTTTCGCGTTCCTCTCGCCATACTCTGCCTATTTTTGTATCCTCTCTAACTTTCTTGTGCGTTTTTGTCGACTTGCTTTACGCCTTTTACTTCTTGCTTTTTTCGGTCGCTCTGTCTCTTTCCTTTCAGCCTATTCTCACTCAAAACCCTCTCTTCACGAACTTAAATTATAACAATTTCCTCCCGTCGAAAAAGCTTCAGCTGTACCGGTATTGTTGCATGCGAGTTCATTAGAAATTGCAAAATACCGAGAATAACAGTTCAACTTCAACCTCACTAATTTGATTTCCCGCTTAAAACGCGGGTTGCAAATTATTTGCTCACGCGGCTTCACATCTATTAGCCCACGTGAAGCCCTCGTGGAATTCCTAACCGTATGCCCACAGTACGCTACACTGAAGCTCGACACTCGAGTATGCGCACTTCATTGTCATCTGCCGGTGTCTCCTGGCGCACACTAATAAGGTATCCAGGTTACGCACGCAATCGCGCCTGCGTACTACCTTCTTCCTCGCGCTTCCATAACGTAATGGTCTATTGTAATGGTACAGTAGGCCGCGCATGCTAAAAGTAGCACCTTGTACGGTCGGTCGTACGGTGTCAAGTCCAATTTTTTTTCGGCTTGTTGGGTTACAACTATTTCGTATAATTATGGGGCTACGCTGCGCGCGCTGCGAGCTCCGCTTTTAAATATTACGATATTTTCTTTAGTTAATTATGATGCAAAGAGTAACCACAATAACGAAAACGACAATAATTTTCCTGTAGTTACCTGGCAGTCGGCAAGCTTCCATAACACATGTTTGCCCTTCTGTGAATTTCCCACTTTCACAATCTTGTCCTCCATACGCCGGAGGGGGACTGGTACAGTTTCGATGACGTAATTGGTATCCAGTCCCACACGACACACTACAAGTTGTCCAGTTAGACCATTCAGAAAAACCACCATTAACTGTCAAAACACGACAAAAATTACGATAGCAAATCAAAAATCATCTTTTTAAATGGCTTCTCAGAGATTGAAATCTTTCTCTTAGACAATTCGGTTGCAACCAAAAAAACCACAATAATACCAACAACTTTATTACCTGGTACATGACAAGGTCCCATCACACATATTCGCCCTTCTGTAAAATTCTTGCTTTCACAACCTTGTCCTCCATGCGCCGGAGGAGGACTGGAACAGTTTCGATGACGTAGTTGGAATCCAGTGCCACACGGCACACTACAGTTTGTCCAGTTGGACCATTCTGAAAAACCTCCATCAACTGTCAAGACGAAAAAAATAAATTCTTGTGAATATCAGTGATATGACAGGGCCTGTGGAAGAATTAAGATTTCCTCTTTTTTCAATGGCGGGACAAAAATGTAAATCTCCTCCTTAGACATTCATGTTGGGCAAAAATTACCACAACAATAACGATAAGTAAAACAACGACATAATTACCTGGTAACTGACAAGGTCCCATCGCGCATGTTCGCCCTTCTGTGAAATTCTTGCTTTCGCAACTTTTTCCTCCATAAGCCGGAGAAGGACTGGTGCAGTTTCGATGACGTAATTGGAATCCAGTTCCACATACAACGCTACAAGTGGTCCAATTGGACCATTCAGAAAAACCGCCATCAACTGTTGAGACAAAACCGCAAAACTCTTACGAATATAAATGAATGATTAAGACCACAATCGAACAACAACATTTTTCTTTTCTGAAATGCTTATCAAAAGTTGAAATTTTTCCCATGAACTATTATGGTGAAAAAAAATTACCTGGCAAGTTGCAAGCGCCCATCAAACATGTTCGTACATCTGTAAAATTCCTGCTCTCACAACTTTTTCCTCCATGTGCTGGAGGGGGACTGGTACAGTTTCGATAACGTAATTGGAATCCACTCCCACACGAAACACTACAAGTTGTCCAGTCGGACCATTCAGAAAAACCTCCATCAACTGTCAAAACGAAACAATACATTCTCGTGTATATCAATGATATGACAGGGCCTATCGAAGAATTAAGATTTCCTCTTTTTTCAATGGCGGGACAAAAATGTAAATCTCCTCCTTAGACATTCATGTTGGGCAAAAATTACCACAATAATAACGATAAGTAAAACAACAGCACAATTACCTGGTAACTGACAAGGTCCCATCGCGCATGTTCGCCCTTCTGTGAAATTCTTGCTTTCGCAACTTTTTCCTCCATAAGCCGGAGAAGGACTGTTGCAGTTCCGATGACGTAATTGGAATCCAGTTCCACACACAACACCACAAGCGGTCCAATTGGACCATTCAGAAAAACCGCCATCAACTGTTGAGACAAAACCGCAAAACGCTTACGAATATAAATGAATGATTAAGACCACAATCGAACAACAACATTTTTCTTTTCTGAAATGCTTGTCAAAAGTTGAAATTTTTCCCATAGAAAATTATGGTGCCAATAAACCACAACAATATCAAAAATAACGTTGACATAATTACCTGGCAAGTTGCAAGCGCCCATCAAACATGTTCGCACATCTGTAAAATTCCTGCTCTCACAACTTTTTCCTCCATGCGCTGGAAGGGGACTGGTACAGTTTCGATAACGTAATTGGAATCCACTCCCACACGACGCACTACAAGTAGTCCAGTTAGACCATTCTGAAAAACCTCCATCAACTTTCAAAATAAAGCAGAGAACTCTTTTGAATACTACTGCCATGCCTATACCTTATTTCTTGACTACTCAAACCCTAAAAATTACCAGATTCTCGATAATAAACAGCACTATGCAAAAGTAATGCAAACGGCTATAAAAACAGTGGCTTCTATGTGGCGCGAAAGTAAGCGCGCATATTTGGCCTTGAACATTATCTGTTCCGAGATGCGAAGAGTTTCCGAGAGCGAAGCTCGATTCAAACTGTGAGCTTCGAGGAACAGGTATGCCCAAGAACAAAGATCCCATAATAATTTTGTGCGAAATCGAAGCTATTGCGATTATTATTCTCCAAATATTTTGCAGTTTGTAGTAATAAATGTTTTAGTACAGCTTACCGTTCATTGCATAGGATGTTCGATTTTAATTGTTCTCTGATACGACTATATAAAAAAAAAAACACACAAGTCCCTTCTTCTACAACAACCACAAACCGCTTCCTCATCTTGAATTAGCTTTTAAACGAAGCCTTAACGTAAGTTTTTTGAATTGGGGAATATCAGTTGAGGTACATTCTCGGATGTTTTCCAGCTTTAGCTGGGAAATATTCGATTACATAATGCGTTTAGACCTATCGCACGCGGGTAAAAGTATTTGTTGGTTTATAACGTCGAATAAAGCGCTTTGTTTATTTCCAAAATATTGCCGATAAGTCGATGAGATATCAGAGATTTCCTATGATATCTCGTTCCACTGATATATCGTTTCAACGAAATGTTGTTTCAACGATATACTATAAATCGTTGATATATCATTGATATATCGTAGGGCTAGGTGCATCATCACGTTAAATCGCCTTAGCGAAATATCGCTATAGCTTTTTACCTTAAAGCAAGGTTTACGTCATCGCGACATATCGTTCTGGCGATACATTGCCAGAGCAATTTCATCGCCCCTGCAACAGTAACGTAAGATAGCAGTGCAGCCTAAAGATAATCATACGAAAGGCAGCTCAGGTAATTACTTCTTCAGAGTTAGTTCTTTAGAGCATTGGGAAACAAGGAAGGCCACAATAATTTTTTAATTAAAAATTTCAGTCGACGATGACTTGATTTTATTTATTGTACTCGCCCACGGCGCATAATGGTCAATCATTGTGTACAACAAGCAAACAAACAAAAACAGCTGAGCAGTTCTAGTTTTGGCGCTTTTCCTTTAGTGTTGGCCGGGTAGGAGATGTATCAATCATGTCCAATTGAGACACTTCACTTGAAAGAGTTTTTCTTCGATTATTTATTTTCAGTTTGGCACTGTTTGACTGATGCAACGATGACAACTGAATATGTCAAATGACTTGATTTAACTGTATTAATTTAAATTTTAATGAGTTACTTTCAATATGTATTCCCTCCTCCAGCAATCAAAGCCCGCTGATGGATCGAAATTTCTATGGTATGTTTGATTCATACTTGTAAATGCTTTCACTGTTGCCTTGGTGCTTTGTTTAGCACAACAATACAAGCTTTATCCCCAAGAAAGTTTTTCATTGTAATATGTAGTTAATATAAACACCGTGCTATTTTCAGCTCTTTGATTGTTGTGCGAGAAGGTGGGTAATTTAAAAGTGCTTAGTCTCTTTCTTTCGTGTTTGCTGAACTATGGCGCGTGCAAAAAATAAGCGAAGAGAAAGAATAGAATTTCCCGATTCTGTCAGCGACTTAGAATTAGTATTTGTGACTTGTACAAGTAAAACAGAAAAGGAAATTTTTTATTGAAAGCACAAAATATTTTTGTATAGCAAAGTTATCATGCAGAAGAAAGAACAACATTTTGATATACATTTACCTTTTGCATAGCATGCTGACGCTGTGCAGTTTCGCACTTCTGTGAAATCTTCGCTGTCACATTTTTGCCCACCATGCGCCGGAGGGGGATTGGTGCAATTTCGTTGACGTAATTGGAATCCGGTCCCACAGGTCACACTGCAGGTATTCCATTCGGACCAATCGGAGAAGCCTCCATTGACTGTGAAACCAAGCGCAAAACGTAATAATGAATAAAGGATATTTTGTCTCCCAGCTGGACTTGAATACTGATTAAAAAGTGAAAACTTTACTCAAGTTTTCTCGTAACTAAGCTAAGATACCTTATTCATGATAATTTTTCACCAAAGGCTATTTGTGCACCAGAACAGTCCACGAAAATCTCTCTCTTCCTTCACCCTTATTCTGTTATTTTTTAGTAAATATTTATATGCTAAAAACAGCTGAAAGGTTTGTTTTTGTTTCCAAGACGCCATTACTCTACCTCGAGGTCTGAATCTGTCAATACACGATGCAAGGTTTGGAGGCACAAGTACACGGACCATGTAATAGGGACCTTAAACAGCCAGGACAGCAACGCCGAGGAACACATTAATGAAAAAAGGGATCTCATATCTTTTGTTAGAATTTTCGCGAATGGCGGCATGTTTTTACCAAATTAACCGTTCGTCACGGCGCCACATCTCAACTTCAGCACTGACGTACCCGAGCAGAATTGAGTCCCAAAAGGAAACTTAAATAATTTGACGTCGAGCTCTCTTTTCTTTGGCTACGCAAATTTTGGTTATTTAATGTCGTCGTTTTGCAGAGGACGGCTAAGAAATGTACAAATTCTTAAAACGCACGTGCTGAGCAATTGCTCTGCCCATGAAATCTTTTGTTTCGCAATTATTGTTTCATAAAGTCCCCTATCTATGGTTTACGACAAAAATTGGGGTTGGGAAATGGTAACTGTTTCTTCACCCACCTGGACACTCATTTCCTTCACAGTCCATCATCTCGTACAAGTCTCCCTCGCAATACTTTCCGCCATGAAGCGGAGCGGGATTGGTGCACGTTCTGTATCGAAAACTGGTTCCGTTACCACATGGATTGGAACACCGAGTCCAATCTGACCAATTCGAGAATCCCCCATTTACTGTTAATAAATAACACTTTTATTGTTGCTTATTCGAGCACACACAAATATTTGAGACTGGTGTGGGTAAGACATGACTAGCAAATTAGACTCTACGATTTAAGACACTAGCCCGGTGAGTATCAAGGGAGTTGGGAAAGGAGTGGTACCGGTAAGAGGTGAAAGAGTCTCAAACTTGACTTGCATTAGACCATGTAAAAACATTTTGCTTAATAAATCTTCTCTCATATATAGGAAGCTAGTGACTCTAGAATGATGTTTAAATGAACTAAGAGGGAGGTAGTTTTGCCGTGATTGACAGTATGCAAAGTGCTCATCATAAACTTGTTTGTAATTGCCTGAAGTAGAGTATTTTTAAGGAGAGTCACATGGGTTTCAAAAGGAACAGAGGGGAATTAGGAACAGAGGGGAATCACTTGTCGCCAACAGAGCTTAAAGACGGGGGAGGGGGTGGGAGGCACTATAGACCTAGACTGCAAACTAACTTCCAACAAGAGAGGATAAGGTTGACGACAAAAAGGAGGGTTGGGAAATGGTTACTGTTTCTTCACCCACCTGGACACTCATTTCCCACACAGTCCATCGTCTCGTTAAAGTCTCCCTCGCAATACTTTCCGCCATGAAGCGGAGCGGGATTGGTACACGTTCTGTTTCGAAAACTGGTTCCGTTACCACATGGATTGGAACACCGAGTCCAATCTGACCAATTCGAGAATCCCCCATTTACTGTTAATAAATAACACTTTTATTGTTGCTTATTCGAGCACACACAAATATTTGAGACTGGTGTGGGTAAGACATGACTAGCAAATTAGACTCTACAATTTAAGACACTGGCCCAGTTAGTATCGAGGGAGTTGGGAAAGGAGTGGTATCGGAAAGGGGTGAAAGAGTCTCAAACTTGACTTGCATTAGACCATGTAAAAACATTTTGCTTAATAAATCTTCTCTCATATATAAGAAGCTAGTGACTCTAGAGTGATGTTTAAATGAACTAGGAGGGAGGTGATGTTTAAATGAACTAGGAGGGAGGTAGTTTTGCCGTGATTGACAGTATGTAAAGTGCCCATCATAAACTTGTTTGTAATCGCCTGAAGAAGAGCATTTTTTAAGGGGAGTCACCTGGTTTTCAGAAAGGAAAGGAGGGGAATCACTTGTCGCCATCACAGCTTAAAGAGGGGGGGGGAGAGGGACTACAGTACTAGACTGCACACCAAATTCCAACAAGAGAGGATAAGGTGTTCCTCTTGCTGTTAATGAGGGAGGAGAGGGGAGGGGGAATGGAGAAACATAGGAATACTACAGAGACCTATGAGGATCAGAGAAATGTTATCGGGCACAACTGAAAAACACCTTTGCCCCTCCCCCCTCCCCCCTCTCCCTAAAACGCGAATAATTAGTCTCTAGTAGCAAGTGGTGACCTACCTATCACACATCCATATAACTCCAACTTACCATGTGTTTACCAAACAGACTTATGAGGATCAGAGAAATGTTATCGGGAACAATTGAAAAACCCCTTTGCCCTTCCCCCCTCCCCCTAAAACGCGAATGATTAGTCTCTAATAGCAAATGGTGACCTACATATCACACATCCATATAACTCCAACCTCCACCCCACCCCACCCCACTCCTCTCAAGCTAAGAGGGGAATGACTGGTCTCTAATAGCAAGCACGTTGGTACATTCATAATCACTTAACTACTACACATCCATATAACTCCAACCTCTCAACCCCTCCTCCCAAGCTAAGAGGGGAATGATTGGTCTTTAATAGCAAGCACTACTGTGCAGTCATAGTCACATAGTCACTTACCTACTACACATCCATATAACTCAACCCGCATGCAGATTTTATTCCATGTTTGAACTCTAATCCTTACTTGCTGAGCCACCAGTCCATCCAGAGGGAAGTACGCAATTTCGTCTCCATCGGTGGTCGGTGCGTAATCAAAATACTACGATATTTACAAAGAAAAAAAACTGAGGTTTCCTTACGGGTTGATTTCTCTTCTTTTCGTGTTGTCTCATAAAATATGAAAAACAGACGGCCACAGCACCCGGCGTGGTCGTAATCTTGAGGGCCACGAGTTTATTAGTACTTTATACTGTCAAGTGCCACCCTCGAAAAATAAAGTTGATTATTATTATTGTTATAATCTAACTAAACTAAGAGAGAATTTAATCAAGTGATTGTAACAACCTCAACGTTATCATCCGTTGGATAATGGCACCAAAAGACATTCCATGAATTGATACGTCTGAAGTAAATAAAGAGCTTCGTGACATAGTCTTGGCTGTTACTTCGCCCTTGATATGCAAATACAGAAATGTTGACTTGCTTATCTGTAAAAAAAAATAAAAAAATTTGAATATTATTCTCGATATTAAGTCACAAAGCAAAACCTTTTTACGTAACCAAAAGCTGCCAAACCATAAAACTATCATAGTCAAAATCTGTCTCATTAAAACTCTGTCGTTAACAATGCTGTGTGTGGGCAAGATTTCGAGATTGTAAGTTCCTGGTTAGATGTTTTGAACTCCCCATAAGGCAAAAGTGCTTCTTGCCGGTTTATACAATGATTATTTCACGACTGCTTCCCAAAGTTTGCAAAAGAAAATTTATGAGTAGTCCTGGCGACAAAACAGTTAACACTACTTCTTTCAAAACAAAGAAAACCCGCGGTGAGTTCTTTTAATTCATTTGGCAGTCCTTCTTTCTGATAATGATGATTTTTTTATCAAGCGTCAACATTGTTGAAAGTTTGCCTTAGCTGTGAGCGCGGCCCATAAAAATTCAAGAAAGATATTTGGCTGAGCTGGCACGCAAGGCAACCATGCTTAAAATTTTCTACGCGCGTCATGGTAGGGATAAGCATCTGCGAACATAAGGGGTATTTTAAATCTTTCATCGTACGAATGAACATAGATTTATCTCGAATTTTTGAGTAGCTGAAAGATTTTCTAAGCCAAGAGAAGAAAAGAAATTTAAGGTGGAGATAATTTGAATTGATTAACTTGCTCTTAAAGGGTAAATATTCCTTACCGAAAGTGAACTCTGGATACGCAAGTCCGTGATCCCACAATGCACACCAAGCCCCTGTACTATTCAGAAAAATATGACTTTCATCAAAGCTGTCATTATAAGAAGACTTTACTTTAGTCGTGTAATTGACAAGGTTGTCTGTAAGAAGCGCACCACATCCGGGACCTGTTAAAATGTACATGCGAAAATGATTAGTTATTCATACGCAAGAGACCATTAGATCCAAGAAAACTTTGCCACTTGGCTGCGTCTTGAAAGTGAATTTGTTTAGTTCTCCAAAGCAGCCTATTGTCGCTGAATTTAGGTGCCCTTGAAACAAAACCAAAGCGGTTTAGCTGAGAAGAACTCGCGCGAATAGTTTCGAACGGAGACGTTTTGAAAATGACGAACGGAGACGTTTTGAAAATGACGAACGGAGACGTTTTGAAAATGACGAACGGAGACATTTTGAAAATGACGAACGGAGATGTTTTGAAAATGACGAACGGAGATGTTTTGAAAATGACGAACGGAGATGTTTTGAAAATGACGAACGGAGATGTTTTGAAAATGACGAACTTGAGTGACGTGGCATAAGTTTCAAAGCAAAGGAATTACAACGCTTTTCCTGTCGTGGCTATGGCATTGCAGAAATTTTAGTTGTGTTGGCCGACTCCTTCACGCAAATAACACTTGACGGAATGTTTCTTCATTCGCTTTTCCTCCAAAAGAGGAAAAAGTTTAAAGCTGTTTATGGTTTGCCAGAAAAAAAAAACTTTCAACCAATAAATCTTGTCAGACGTGTAAATCAAGTTAGGCCGGGTATGCTACGATAATTTAGTCTTCCGAGCTTTCGCCGATCTACGGCATCATCAGGGAATGTAGAGGGAATCTTTGAAGTGAAGAGTATATCGGGCGAGGTGTTAGGCTAGGTAATCGGGGTTCAGCAGACAATAAGACAGGACAATGGCAGGAATGTAAATGCGGTAGAAATAGTTAGAACGAAAGGTCTTAGCAGAAAATAAATGTAGTGTTGTAAGAATAAAAGGTCAATGAGTTCGGCTCACTCCTCCCTAGAGTTGATTTCGGGCTTAGGTTTTCTAATCTTTAGTGCCTCGAGGAGGAGAAGGTTTACTGGCTCATTGTGGTTGTCGATAATTTTAGGAAAACGTCATAGGGTCAACCTCCAGTCTTCCTTTTCAAGATGTTTCATTACTTTTCTTTTTTTCATCTTGAATAAATACGTTATGATATAATGTCATGTTTTATTTTCACGTTTTTGGTGATCCTTTGGCATGCGAGTAAGTGCGTGAACACAGAAGATTTGTTGTTGTTAAATTTCTTTTACGCGGTCTTATGTATGTCGGTAAGTGCTGCCGACGTAGAATTGGTGGCATTTGACGCATGTGATCTTGTAGATGGTGCATCTGCGTAAACAAAACTTTGTGTGTGCAACAGGGCAGTTGGTGCGTTTACATTCTGGTTCGTCTCTCTTGGTGGATAGGGCGTTTCTTAGAGTGTAGGCTTTATGGGTTATTCGGACGTCGATGTTTCTCAGTCTTGTTTTAAGTAATGTTAAAGGCGTGGTTATATCTCATGTTTTATCATTTGGCTTGAAGACTGTCGTTAACACCTTCTATAGCTATTTATAGAACCTAAGGATAGAATCCAACTAAAATTAATTATATCTCATGCTAAAAATAGAGAAAATGGAAAACAATGAGGCAAGTGCTCAAGCAGTGATAATTGAACCTCCTATAAGAGATTGGAACTTTCTTCGTTTCCGGTGAAACACTTTCTCTCGAAGAGGAAACGATTACCCACTGAGAAAGTAACTCACTGAAATAACTCGTTTTTGGACTTATTGTTTTGCCATGTTTTATGACGTTTTTTTTTTCCTCTTTTTTGTATTTGTACTTGCGCCAACAGCAATGGAAATCAGAGCTTTTTATAATTGTATTTAAAATTAGGGCTCTTCATTATAATGCAGAGATAAATGTTATGCCTCATCGATTCGTCTTTGAAGTTAATTGCTCCGAAGTGCCCTCTTCTTTATTGCGCCTTTATCGAAACAAGGCGTTTTCCTTTCGAATCAATTTTTTTATGTGGTGCCCTTTTCCTTTAATCAATCTGAATTCGCCAACTTCGATATTCCTTGATCCGCAACTAAACCGCTTATGTACAAACCCTACATGAGCCTTTTAGTGGTTTTCCTGTTAATTATACTCCTTAATCGACAATCAAAAGCAAACCCAGACACCATCAATCACAATTTGAATTACTGATCTTTGAATAAATGGAAAGGTTACTCCAGGTTATATGGAAAATTCCAGTTGCATCTGTTCTCTGTAGTGATCGTGAGTTTACTGCTGAAATCCGCGATCAGTACCACCTCAAGATAAAGAAAGGAGCGGAACAAGCGGACTCCTGTTTAGCTTGTTTTCGGCAATTTCAAAAGAGAGTCAGACAAGATAATAAATTGACCTGAAACTTTTCAAGAACTATTGTGATGCTAATGAGAGGGAAATTTTAACATTGATTCATTTGTTTGTTTGTCTCGTTAACTAACAATGATATTGGAACTTGTCAAAGCAGACCTTAACAACTGAAACAATGTGTAATTTTATTATCATAAATGTCTCGAGAAAATGTTCAATGAAATCGCATTGAGTTGCATCATGTCATTGAACGGTTGTTAGATTCGTCTTAAAACCTCTGAGACCTTATTATATTCTCTGAGGCCTGTACGATCACATTCTCCAAAGATGGGAGACGGATCACATAACCGAGAATGAAGACCTCTCAGTCTTGTGAAGCTGATATTTTATGATGCATGCCGGCAGAACTGACAAAATCCTTTTAAGTTGCATGAAACAAAGAATGATTGAAGTCCGAAATAATTAGCGGCAAGTTGATCAAATTCCGGTCAACAAGACAATTTTAACCACATGAAGGTTGAATTGGGTAAAATAAAATTAATCTTTTCCTGATGAATTGAATTTCTAATGGGTTATGCTAGAGACTTGTGATCAAGTTCGCTAGACCCTGTTACATGGGAAATTTTCGGATAGCTTTAACCTAATTGGGTAGTGACGTAGCTTTAACCAAAGGAATTGAAATAAAACGCTTTTCTGGCAATAGTGTAGTTTTCAAGAAATCGTGCGTCAAAACTACTGAGGAAAAGGAAATGCAATGCCATAAATTGAGCATATCGAGTAGAGGACGTACTCAGAATTGCAGAGAAAATCATGGCGTACAACGTAAGATCTTTCTCTTTCGCGGATTAAAAATTCTGAAACAGCACGTCCAAGCTTTATAAGCACGACAGTAAACAAGAGATTTTGCCATTGCAGAGTTGAAATATTTTTACCTATGATTGTCATGAAATGAGGCATGTGAAATGCTGTTGAATACACCTGTCGTTACAATTGCGTCAAAGTCCGAGAAGAACTTCCATTCCAACGGTTTTCAAGAAATACATATTTGCATTACGAAGAAACGAGTCTAGTTGAAAGTCACATATCAAACAGAGTAGCAGTGTCTCAAAGTACTAGCTTAAGATCACTTCGCGGTGGTTATGCGTTCTCATCATCAATTGAAATCGAAACAAGAACAGAAAACAATTTACGACATAGTTACCTTTAGGAAAATCCACTGCATAGTTTGGGACAACGATGACAAGTAAAATTTGCACGCAAACACAGACACCAACAGCTGAACGCATAATGCTCCGAACAGTTAGGAACTTAGTTCGCAACTGAAGTCTTCCGACGAGAAGCTGTGATAGTTGTTGTTATATTTCCTAATCTGTTGATCTTTTTAATCAATCAAGCGACCAGTCATGCATGTTATAAGAGGCATCTTAACTCCTTCGAGAACATGGCTCACACGTGCGTTGGTCAGGACTTGATCGAACTCTTCATTGTAAATGAACTGGCTTCTTTGAAACGATAAAAATTGCTCACTACGCCCTACCTTAAAAGGAATGAAAATGGAACATACGTTCCAGTCGAGACGACACCCTCAAACCCAGAAAGAACACTCGGTTAGGGGCACTCAGAAATTGAACAGTTTAAGTAAATGACGAGGAAATGAAATGAGTAAATAGCTAGGATAAACTCGATATTCCTTTAATTATTCATCACTAGTTTACCACCAATGTAGTATCGTCAACACCTTTATTGCATATGATACGATACACCACGCCAGGGTTCTTATCAACCTTCAGGCAACTTATTAACCAGAAAATTGCCTAACAAACAGAGAAAGAACAAAACGATGAAGCACATGACAGCGAAGCAGAAAAATTGTTTCCTTACAAAAGAAAACGGATATTGGATAAACTTATTTTTATTTTAGACTACTGACCTTTGAGAGGACTCAATTTTTTCTTGCATTCTTTCCATTTTTATTTGAATTTTTATCTATCAACCCTCCGGCAGATTTTACGTCTAAAACTACCAAAACAAACAGGGAGAAATAAGCGGTGAAGCAAAAACGCAAACAACGAAAGCGACGAGATTAGAATTTGTTGAAGCATTCGTTTTCTTTAAGGAGATCTGATTTTTGATGCGTTATATGAGTTTTTGATTTTTTTATTCACTAAAGAAAGGAAGGGGTTGTTTTAATGAAACTGTTTACAAATTTTCTAAATAAGTCAAAGGACCCCCGAACGATAGTTTGACCTTGCACCACCTCCTTCTCTATTCAAAGGATCGGACTAATTGATATTTAAATTAAATTGCGGCCAAAAATTTTCACAGACGGTCTGAAGCTGTTTTGACAGCGTCAGTTTAGTTATGGATCTTTAGGGAACCTTCAATTTGTTGAATACATAGCCGATCGTGAAAAACACTGGTGCACGTTTAAACAAATGAATAGGAAACCGATATAGCCATCGTGAGGGAGAAACACTAGTCTTGATAAACTAAGAGTTGGAGAAATAGTTTTCGTCTAACAGCTGTCATAAAAACGCTATAAAACGCCTTATTGGTTTTTAACAAATTTGTTTTAATCTAATCTGCTTGTAACCATAAATAACTGCCACGCGGGAAGTAACCTAATATTTAATTAATTTTTTGCAAAGATATGAAAAATACGACTCATATTATTTCCAGGTCAGGAACATTTTTCGAAGTCTTCTTATACTATACGAAGAACTGTACTTAACTTTTGATAAAGACAGTTGGAATTGCTAATGAAAATAAAAAATTATTTGTCAAGCAGTTTTCAAACTCTTTTATTGTTAATCGATATCTGAGTGGAAAATTGGAACGTACATATTTTTTAAGTGATATTCCGCAAACTTTGGACGCTTTACACCTTGAAAATGTCCTCTGTTACTTTAATTCAATACTTTAGCGACGCTTGCGAAATACTAAACGGAAGATATGAAGCTGGTCAGCTATTGAAAAGAAACTAAGTTCCATAACAACTGGCAATTAATACGTTTTCATTTGTCTGACAATTTGTCTGGTTATTAAATCTCATCACTTTATTCACCCCCTAGACGGTCTCTCTCAATCGTAATACACCACGGGAAAAGTTTAATTCCGATTACAGTAACCTACAGCGACAAAAGGCCTCTTTAGTAACTATATGGACATAAATAGAACGTGTTTTCCGATTCAACACAGACTTCTGGAGATTAATCGATCTTAATCGTTCACTCGCCAACTTGTTTCAAAGTGGCTGTAAGATATTGAACAAGCTGCCCAAAGAGTCCATAATCACTTCAAAACAAGTGCTTGATAAACAGATAACTGCTGGCATCACTGTTATCTGTTTTGATGGAAGTTACGTTCACGAATGCAAAGCTTTAGATTTCGTGTTCTAAGGGAAAATATGATTTGTGCTTCACACAAGAGCACAAGTTTCTATAATGTTTTCGGAATAATCTGTAGGAATTGCTGTTGACGAAGCAAAAAAAAAAGGAAAACCATTGTTTGCTCAATCAGTTACCTGTGGGATAAGTCCCTACTTTTTCCGTTACAAATACAGCAAGGAAAATGGACAGAGACATAAAAAACGTTTAGCTGAGAATATGGTGGTCAAAGGTGGCGTTTACAACAAGATCGTTCTCACTTCTTCAGAGAGAAAATGTTATGGTTTTCCAAAAGCAGGAAGTTCATTCTTTAAGTTCAGCCATGCATGTTATATGAATCGACGTTCACTAGGAAACACTCATTAATTATTATCAATAAGTAGTAAACAAGGATAAGTAGAATGCCCTTGATTTAGCCTAGGAATGGGTATTTTTGACCCGGCGTAATAAAATCAAGGGCTTTAATCATCAACCTTCGAACTCAAACGGTGGCGCGACTCATAGTTAAGATTTTTAGTAACTCATGTCGTCCGATCAATTGGGTGAAATTTATCTACATACTTTCCCAAGTATTCACTCGGCCATCGTCGGATTTGAAGTTTCGCGTGAAATCGAGGCGGATAGATACCCGCATGAGATCGAGGCTATATGTGTCAGTCAGTCCAAGATGGCGTCGAAAAGCTAAATGAATCTGGCTTCGAGTCGATATCCACGGATATCGTAAAACCAGCGGGACTGAAAAGAGATTTTTCCGTTTTACAGCTGTCACAAAAATTAGTTATAAAACGCTGTATCAATTTTGGCTGATTTTGTTCTTTCATTCTGCTTGTAACCGTAAATAACTGCAACACTGGAAACAACCCAAGATTTGAAAATAAATTATTTAATTTGTTCTGGGAAGTTCGAGTTTAACGAAACTTGTCGAAAAATTCCTCTGCCAGACGAAGACCTATACTTGACTTTGAATAAAATTAATAATGAAGATAAGGAAAATAGTTGTTAAGCAGTTTTCAAATTATTTTATTGTTTGCCGATACTGAGACGAAAATTGGAAAGTACTTGTATCTAAAGTGATGCTCTGCTTATTTTGGATGCTAAAAACTTGGAAATGTCCTCCTTTACTTTAATTCAACAATCTGGCGACGGCTTGCAAATCCACAAACACTAAGAAGCTTTCAAGCTGGTCGGCCATTGAAAGGAAAACTAAATTCCAAAACAACTGGCGATTAATATGTTTTCATTAGTCTGAAACTTTGTTCGGTAATTAAGTCTCATCACTTTATTCACCCCCTAGACAGTCTGTCAATCGTAACGCACTACCGACAAAAGGCCCCTTTGATAACTTGAATCATACGGACATATAAATAGAAAGTGTTTCCCGATTTAACTGAGGCATGTAAGAAATATTCGTTCTGAATCTCAAAATATAACAAAGTCGCTCGCGAACTTGTTTCATAGTAGCTTTAAGATATTGAATAGGCTACGAAGAGTTCGTAATCACACGAAAATAACTTCTTGATAAACAGATAACTGCTGGCATCACTACTGTCTGTTTTGCTGAAACTTACGTACCGCAGCGTTTAACTAAATACTTTGTTTTCCAAGCGGAAATATGAATAATGCTTCATCATACGAGAGCGTGAGTTTCTTCAAATTCTTCAGATAATCTGAAGGAATCACTGTTCACTGTTGACAAAACAAATCGACAAGGAAACCGTTTCGTGCATATTTACCTCTAGGATAACTCCCTACCGTTTCCGCAACAAAGACAGCAAAGAAAATGGACAGAGGCGAACGAAAACGTACAGCTGAGAGCATGGAGGACCAATATGGTATGGAATGGGTTTACAATAGCTCCTTCTAACTTCTTCAGAGTGGAAATAAAATGGTTTATCAATCTGCAGGAGTTTCATTCTTAAAGATCAGCCGTGCATGTCAAAGGAATCGAATACTATCTATTAACGGCATTAAAGGGTAATATTCATTTTTTAACGCTATTGATTATCTTTAAAAAAAAAAAAAAAGACATATGAACGTCAAATGAATCGAGTCATATCCTACCCTGGCTGCACTTGACCACTGAAATAAAATTTATAACTCAAATTTAAAATTCGTTCGGGCAGACAAACACCGCAGAGATAAGAATAAACCGCTAACAAATGTGAATAGCGTGGTTTGACCCTTTACCTCCCATGAGTGACCAAGAGAGAATTTCTCCTTAAAATATCAATACAATATCAAGCATAGAAGTGATGAGAATAAAGTGAAATATCAATTAAGGAATTATTACTCGATCCAATACTAAATTCTCCAAATTGACACTATAAGAATTGTATGTCAGACAGTAAAGAGACTTACTAATGAGATCTTGAGAGTTGAAAGGTTAATTGATTTAACCTATGTTTTTATTACTTATGAATAATTACCCTTCATTCCTAACTGCTTTATCGTTTTGAACATCCCATTTATCCTTGTAAAAGAAATTTGGACTCTCAGACGACTTGAATTCAAGAAAATGTCAGCTATTCGAGCTACATAAGACGAAAATTATTTTAGACGAGACGTCTTTCGTTTCCGCCACTCATTAAATGCATGTGTGTTCACCCCCGACGTGCTGCGATTTCAAAGATGTTTGGTTCATTAAATTTAAGACAAAGTGTTTCAACATAATCATCGGGTCCATTTGATAGAGTCTCGTTCTCTGTCCGCGAGACTAGCCTCAAATAAAATGTAATTATTTTTGTCCATAGCAACGTTTTATGGAACCAAAAGAAAGAGGCAATGTTGACAACTAGATGGATGGCAAAGAATCACACTCGTTAAGGATGAACAACAGAAAAATGACGGGAAGAATTGGAAAAAGAATTGTTTTGCTGACCTTTCGGCGAGGATCCTCCGCA